TTTGAAAAGTTCACCCCTATTACAACAACAAAAAAAAAAAAAAAAAAAGAGAAAAAAAAAAAAAAGAAAAAAGAAAAAAGAGTTGTCCTCCTATTTTTTGGAATCAAGAGCAGGTGCAGGAGGGCTATTAGAGACCGCTACACAAGCCTTGTCCACCGTTCTCCATCCATAATGTAACTAGGGTGTGCTCCTACTTGCATTAAGATATAACCTGCTCAGCTCCAAGATCAGAAAGATGCACAATGGCCACCCAATGCCTGAGCATTTATTTTTTTTAAAGATTAATCCTTCTTTTTTTAGGTGATTCTGTGCTAATAATGAACAGCACACCTGCAGGTCTTGAGACATGAGAGAAATAGAGCCATAGGCTCAACAAACCAAGGCCCACTTATATTCTGTGAGTCTCTGAAAGCATACAGCAGACTCCTCAGTCCATCTGTGTTCAGACCCGTCCACTAGATGTCAAGGCTTAGATTTAGCAGCAAAAAATTACTGCAATACTAATTGCAAACACAGGAAATAAAACGTGGGGCAAAATGGAAAAAAATGTAAGGTCACTGGCCTAGGTGAGGAAATCTCTGCTGAATGACTCTAAAACCTGTTTTATTTCACTCTTCTTATATTGGGCAAAGTTTACTGGGAAAAAATGTAATTTTTTTTTTCAACATTGAATTTGAGAGGAAAAATATCTTACAAAATATCTTACAGTATCTTAAAATGTGTTCACAGGAAGCTGAACACATTTTAAAGGCGTAACTTCCTTTCCTTTCAAACAGGCTGAGAGAGTTGGGGTTGTTCAGCCTATGGGAGAGGTGGCCCCAGCAAAAGCAGCTTCTGAGCACCAGAGGGCCTAGAAGAAAGCTAGAGAGTGACTTTTCATAAAGTGATAGCACAAGGGGTACACAAGCCCTAAACTGGGACAGGGTAGGTTTAAGTTAGATATTAGAAATTCTTTACTGTGAGAGTGGCGAGGCAGTGGAACAGATTGCCCAGAGAAGCTGTAACAGTGTTAAAAGCTAGGTTGGATGGTGCTCAGAGCAATTTCTTTTAGAAGAATTTGTCTGTGCCCATGGCAGAAGGGTTGGAACAAGATGATCTTTAAGGTCCTGTCCAACGTGAACCATTCTGTGATTCTAGGATTCTAAGTGCTTACATATGGTAATAAACTCACCTCTCACTCTCTTCAAAAAGAGTTCAAAATACAACTTCTGCTTACAACTTGGTCAAAATAGGTAGCCATTTCAGAAAAAAACTTTCACAACCTTGATTATCAAATATCACGCAGTACCCATCAAGAGAAAAATCAGAAGTGCAGTGTGCTCAGCTCAGAAAACAAATGTTCTATGATCATGTTGTGAAATAATTTTATTTAAAAGAAGAGCTTCACAGAGTTGAGATTTTTGAGTGCAGATTCTACAGATGGCACTCATGTTGTAGAACATTGCCTCCAGAGTTGCCATATTATGGTCCCCAAGCTCCATCTCAGCCTGGAAGATTTTCTAAGTAATATATGGAACAAGGTATTGATAAAAGACAACTAAGGAATAATTATTTCCTATTTGCAGACTACAACAAACAAAGACATAGCAATATCTTCCAACAAGTTTAGTACAAACAAATTATTCTTCTGAATTAATAACTACCTTGTGAACTGATTTAAGCATGACATTACAGAGGACTATAGTGTAAAGAATGAGTGGTAAGAGTAATAAGAATAATAAAAATCAAGTAAAACTGAATTCCCTCATGGTTCTTTACAGAGAATATCTCTACACAATTTCTGACACAGAATGCACAGACAGACCCAGAGAGGTCACTCCTTTGACATGGGGCTCTGGGAACTACTTATCCACTAACAAGTAGTGTATTTCTACATGTAGTAGTTCTTTTGAGAGCCAGGACCCTTGTGTCTCTCAATCCTGTAAATTCTTCACAGGATAGTCTACTTAAGAAACAAGGACATAAAACACCACATGGGATGAGCAAAAACCTCTTACTTCTACCCATATTTACACCAAAAGAATTAGAAGTAATCTTTTGCAGTGTTTACAAGCCCTAATAGACAGAAGTGCCCCAATGTAGGAAGCTGGGCACAAATGTAATAAGTCATTAGTCCTGAGAGCTTTCAGCTTTTTGAGTGGTTGCAAACTACACCTGAATAGAGCCTCACCAAATTCCCTCATTCCATCAGTGCACAACTTGCATTTGATCAGCCAAGAAGAGCAATATAACTCATTTCCTTTAAAAGCACAGAAAGTGTCAGGTATTATGTAGTAACAGAAACACAGAAAGCACAGAAACAATAATAATCACACAGAAGAGTACTGGAGAGTCTCATTCCAAGCAAACAGACATTTAAATTATTACCTGAGTCCAAAAAGGGTTCATGACAAGACCACAATACTTTTCTCTCTATTAGACTTCATTTTAAAAGGCATCAAGCAGCCTTACAGTCACAATTCCCCTGTTCTCTCCAGTACTTGGAGAATACAGTAGAAATAAGCAAATTCAATTTCTATCCCATTCCATCTAGAAGTTAATTCCTTTCTTGTCATGATCACAGAAGATATCCCTTACTTTCTTCACAGGTGCTACTTGTAAATCCATGCAGCAGAGTTCTCCTCCTCCTTTAACATGGAGCCTAATTAACTTCTGTTTCCCGTTTCTGTTTAATATGTGCACTCCCAAGTTCCTAACTGCACACAAATTTGATGTATGTGTAAGACGCACATTCTGCATGTTTCCTCATGCTATCTCAAATTAGAAGTATAAGCAGTTAAATATCTGAATGAGCCAGTAAGAAAATAAAATCAGAATTAAAACAAACAAGCCAACCACTAAACAAACAAAACAAAACTAAACAAAAAAAAAATCCAACAAAAAAAAAACCCAGAAAAACCTTCATGAAGCCTTAAAATGTGCAAGCACATACTGGGAGAGAAAATTTCCATGGTACTTCAGAGATGTGAAAATTCACAAGCAGAAGGCACAATCTTGCTACCAGGTGCAAAACAACTATAGAATGCTCTAGCTTGCTCTTTCTAATAAACACTCTGTACAACCAAAATAGAGGAAACAATGAGTCTTACTCAAAGCATGAATACAAAATTTTGTTCACTACACACTAAACTATAATATCAAATGAACTATAATATCAAATGTAAAGTTAACTAATGAACGAAATTATTAACCAAATACTTAAAGACCAATCAAAAAGTTCCTAATTTCCTTTCCTCAATGAATTTTACATGACATTTTTATTGCATTAAGATGCCAGTAAATTTGATTATTTCTTGCCAAGATTATATTTTTTTACTTCCTCTATGCAGAACAAACGTCTGATTTCAAAATGAAAAAATGAAAGATTTAAATTAATATGCTTTTTTTTTAAAGTTACAGTTCTTTCAGGTTTCTGTACACCATTGAGTATACAAGAAAAATTCAGCGTAAATAGGAAAACGATTTTAAATCCTGCCGTGTGGTATTTAATGACATCAGTACTGAAAAAGCACTGGAGAATGCGGGCATCGATCCCGCTACCTCTCGCATGCTAAGCGAGCGCTCTACCATTTGAGCTAATTCCCCACTTGAAAAAAAAACTTTGAAACCTGAAGATACAGACTATAAACTTACAAAAAAACAACGCAACTAGGTTTAGTTATAAATTTGTTGTTTCTTGCCGAGTCATTCTTTCCACTCGCCAACAACAGACTGCAGCCCACAGCTGCAATCATGGGACCCATGTTTCAGCATGGACACTACCAGAATAATCCTATTCATCCTTTTATAACACGAGTCTTTGTTATTTAGCTGGTTTCATACAAGAAGCTCTCCAAAACACCAAAGTACTTAAAAGAAACCAAATGTGCGTTTCTAGGGAAAAAAAAAAGCGCGCTACTTTTATTGAACAACTGTTCCAAATTCAACAAGGAAAACCCTTAGTCTTTCCAATTTTCAGGGCTTGCACATGTAAAGACTGGTTCAGGAAATGTTTAATAAAGGAAAAAATGTTATATGCTTGAATGAAACAGAGTTTTATAGTCAAAACTTACACATATGTGTGTGAGCAGATATATATATATATGCACACACACATCCTGTCATATAAATATGTATATATGCACACATACATCTTTTTGGAAGGTGTCTGGCTTGTCTGAGGTGAGAGAGTCAAGTGAAATTAAAGCAAATCTGTACTTTTCTGATTTATTATCTCACCAAATGCACTTCCCTATAATTAATACATTACTTTTACCAGCCTTAAAACACTGACTTTTGGAAAAATGAACGCACCGGCGCTCACTTGACGCGCAGCATCGAGCTTATATCGTAGGCAGGGAACATGATGAGGTACGACCCCCCCAAAACTGCACCCACAGCCCCTGGCGGTGCTCCTGCCCCCCGCAAAACTGCACCCACAGCCCCTGGCGGTGCTCCTGCCCCCCGCAAAACTGCACCCACAGCCCCCCGGAGCTCGGTCCCCCAAAGAGCTCTCAAATCCCGGGGCCCGGCCCCGCCAGGGAGCCGCGGTGCCCCGGCAGCAGGAGCCGCTCCGCGCCCGTCCCCGGAGCTCCTGTCACGGCCCCTGCGGCTGCTCTCCCTCCCGGACACACTTCTGGCCTCACATCCTCGCCTTTGCTTCCCTGCTTCCTCGGCACAGCCCTCTCTCCTTCCACACATCCTTTCCTTTGGTGTTTCAAAGTCCCCTGCCATCTCCTCCGTGCTCTGCCATCCCCTCCTTCCCCCAGCCTCCTCGCTTCTGCTTCAAAGAATTACAGGATCGATTAGGCTGGAAAAGATCTGAGAGATCATCGAGTTTAACTTCTGCCTTAACACCACCACCATGTTAACTAGACCATGGCATTAAGTGCCACATCCAGTCTTTCCTTAAGGGATGGTGATTCCACTATCTCCCTGGGCAGCCCATTCCAGTGTCTAATCACTCCTGTGAAGAAATTCTTTATGACGTCCGAGCTATACCTCCCCTGGTGTATCTTACACCTATGTCCTGTTGTCCGCTCCCTAGATGCATGTGAGAAGAGGCCAACCCTCATCTGGCTACAGCCTCCTTTCAGGTGGTTGTGGAGAGTGATGAGGTTTCCCCTGAGCCTCCTTTTCTCCATGAGAAACATAACATAAACACCTGCAGCTCCCTCAGCCACTGCTCAATAGAAATGTGCTCCAGATCCTCCACCAGCTCTGTTGGCCTCCTCTGGACACACCTCACTATCTTTCTTGGTGTGGGGGGCCCAGAACTGAACAAGGTGAGGCCTCACCAGTGCTGAGTACAGGGTGATAATTGCTGCCCTGGTCCTGCTGGCCACACAATTTCTGATATAAAAATAATGTGAACACACCTGTAACAACTTTCACATATACATAACTTGATCGACCCAGGTTTTTTGAGCTGAACGACACCAAAGCGGCTGAGCTCCACTTTACATCTTTCGCCTACTTATTTTAACCACAGAGGCCTCTCAGGCATCTCTTTGAAGCATAAAGTGATATACCAAGCAAGAGAGCTGTGTTTGGCTCTGGTTCTCTGTAGGGTGAGAAGAGTTTACAAACTCCACCTGCTTTGTCATGGCAGTGTTCACTTCTGATCTTCTCCATAAACTCTCTCTTCTCTTGCACATACAAATTATGGAGCCCATAATCTACCACCCAGTGACTTTCTGATTGTTGCTTGAACATCTTCACTTACAGAGGAGATTGTTCCTGCACTATGTCGGCACTAAACCAGACAATGGCTCCTTGTCAAGCCAGGCCGCATTGCTCACTCCATAGATGGGAGATGTTACTCATCCATCAAGTTTAAGACAGGCCAAGAAGAAATTAAATTAAAGCTTGAGTGAAGGATCACCACCTGACAGGTTTCTAACCAGCCTGGCTCGTTTTTACATCATTTACTGGCTTCTGGTGATGCTGAATCATTTTATGTACCTTAGCCCTGACATGTGATGAATGGCTTGGAGATACTGTACGTGCACATCCAGTTGTTCCTGGAGCTGGATTCTTTGGCAGGAGGCAAGACAGACTAGGAATAACTGAAACTAAGGCACTGTCTTTGTGTGGCAGTATCCACTTAGTGCTTGACAAGCTTCAGCATTGATTTGCTACAATTTTTTGACAGTGCCAACCACAAGAAAATGGGAAGGGGAAGAAAGAATAATGTATTCAGAAAAAAATATGGCTGTCAGTCCAAGAGCACTAATGGACCAAGTGAGAGTAATAATCAGGTACAAAGTTGTTCTGGATTTATGGCCAGCTGTATGTTTAAGCTATACTTGATTTTTTGGTTGGTTGTTGGTTTTGTTTGTTTTTTAAAAATACTAAAGCTAGTCCTGTCAGTGGTAAACCCAAGATTTCTGAAGGGCAGGAGAGGGTGATTGATTGTGTCTAGTTTTTCAGTACTTGGAGAATGTTAAAAAAATTAAAAGCAGTGTGAAAATGATATAACACTTGTGAAGTAATGAGAGATCTTTGCCATGTAAATAATTCATTCTTCTATGGCAGCTGCTAGAACATGCACAGTCATTTCTGTAGGTTTTCTACTGAAAACACTAGGTGGACAACTGTGATACAAAATTCAGCTAAAACAAGCCACTATTTTTTTCACATGATCTTATTTATGAAGTATGAACCACCTTGGATGCTCATCTGGGCCTAAAAGCACCTGTTTACTTGATCATCTCTAGGAATTTAGAGTGAGTTAGCTAACAAACACTTATTAGGCCATAATTTAGCAGTAATGACAAGGAACATATTTAGACCAGGCATTCCTGATTAACTTCCTGGTCAAGTCTTCGGATTAAAAAAAAAATCACCTTATTTTTGTCTTTATCTTCAGAAGAAAATAAAGTTTTCTTCACAGGAAGTTGTTTAGAAATGGCTGCTAACAAGTCAAATGCTGCTGAGATCCTAAAGGACTGGTAAACAACTCAAGATTCTGCATTGATCTTGTTTCAAGTTGTTGAACACCATTAACAGTTTTTTTTTCATAGCCTTTTATTTATTTGAGAAGTGTTGAAGTAGCTGTAATTTTACTAACAACATTTAGCAAAAGAACTTAAAAGTTACATAAAAATAGCTCAGCTCTTGCTGAAAGAAATCAATTAATTTCTTTTTTCCTTATTTTACTTTTTCCAGGAAAAATATCTAGCAATTCACAAAAATAGCAAGGTTATAAACAAACAGGAGGTGGGTTGTTGCCAAAACTTCAGAGACTCCAAGAAACTGAGGAAGAAAGGGTGTAAGCTGGAGCACCTTAGCCTATGCAGTTAAACCAAGCCTACTGGCTGTATAAACTAAAGGTGGGTTTTACCATTTACTGCTAAAACTGCCTCTTCTTGCTAACAGTCAACTTGATATTTGGTGTCAACAGTGCAGAAGCTGGGATTGTTTACAAGACAGGAATAGTTTTTACAGCTGCAAATAACCCTTATGTTCTATAATCTCTTTTTAAAAAAAACGCAGAAAGTGACAGAGAAAGATATATTGCATATCCAAATTATTCAGAAGTTGTGTTCTCAGCTGTTAGAAGCTATCAGGAATGTGGTTAGAAAGTGGAAATTCTGTCCTCCTTAAATGCATATTGATGTACATTATTTTAAATTGTTTTTCAACCTCCACCCTCAAAGCAATGCCTAGGAAAATGCATTAACATAAACCTTATCATGAATTTACATTATGAAAAAAAATATTTAGGTCCATTTAAAGGTGTACACACTCAGCAGATATTCCTGCTACTTACAGCTATTGCATTGGGAAAACTAGGATAAAAATCTGCTCTTTCCAGCATTATTTTTCCCCCCGATGATACAGAAGGCAGCTTCAGGGGGACAGAAGAGCTGGCCAACAAGCAGGTTGGTGGCTTTTCTTTAGGTCACTTACCTGCCATCCCAGCAGCTGCCTCTCGCATCAGGAGGAGGCCCAGCTACAGCATTTCCCTGCTCACACGATGACAAACCTCCCAGCACTGCCTGCTCACCGCTCCGTCTAGAAAGGAGTAAAAGGAGGGCAGCAGCTGCCCTGGAGGAGAGAGTTGCCATTGGGGTGGGTGGAAGGTTCTAGCACAGGGCAGGGCACGCTAAGTGCCTGGGAAGGGCGGAACCAGGTGGGAGCATGTGGGCAGGGGAGCTGTGTGTGCTGTGCTGTCAGCTGGAGCGCGTGCGGGCTCAAGCGCAGGACAGAGCAGGCAGAGGAGGTTTGTGCACAGCCTTTTACCCCGGGGCTTTCTGGTCGTTTTAGTGGGTCTCACAAAATCTAGTTTTGAAGTCATGGGTGTGCTTGTTTGAAGGAGGAGGTCAGTGGGCAGCGCAGCTCCTCAGCAGGGCAGGTGGTTTTGTGGGTTCTCATGGGATTCCTCCTCCTGTGCTGCTTTGCCACGACTCAGGCTCCAGTCCTCCTTCAGTTGTTCTCAACATCTACAACCACACTAATCCTATACTGCATTAGTAAATTTTAATAGCTTTTATTTTCTTTACTTCTGATACTGCTCCTCCAGAGTTCACTAAATGTGTAACACTGAACACAGGAGAGAAGTGGAAGACTCAAATCAGAGGATAACTTGGGTTGAAGTGGGTGCTACCCTAAACTTTTTGTAGTCTTAATTCAGCATGGCTGTGCTGTTTTGAATACACTGTGAGCAGGTAGCTTCATCTGTGAATGCAGCTCCTCTAATCATAAGTCTGGTTTCCCTGTTCTAGTTTAAAATTATTTTATGTCATGGTGGTCTATAAATTTAAAAAAGGAAAGTTCTCATCTTTTCATATGCACGTAAGTAATCAAATGTTAAACATAACGAACTTCAGTGAGTTCTGTGTATCTTAACCCTGTAGTCTTTGAACATTGCAGCCAAATACATTTTCAGTTCCTTCCCGATAACCAGTTCCTTGGAGCTTCTTATAAATAGTTGATTATTATTTATTTATTTGGATGAGGTTATTGTTTTTAAAATACTCTGTTATTCTGGAAAAAAAAAAAAATCTCATTTAGTGAGTATGTAGTTCAGTTCCTTAGTAAAAGCCTCAGGATATAGGGATCTGAATCTTCTTAAATCTTCTAAGCTATGAAAAATCTTCGTTCTCACCCCTGTTAACTTTGGCAGAAAAAGTGAAAAGCGGATAAAAATTGAAAATGTAAAGAGATTGTTTACTATTCTGTGGAAATCCATGGCTTGGAAGAGACATTAAATGAGCATGAGGAAAATCTTGTATGTGCTGTTTAGAGATAGCTGATAGGCCAGATGGCCTAATAGATAGCCCACATTCTCTGCTATGTGGAATTTTAGGGAATGTAGAGAAAATTTAGATTCTTACAGTGGTGATTTAGAAGACAAAGGTTGCAGATCCAGTGGGATTCAGGCATAGTCAATCTCACTGCTTTTTTAACAACTTTGTTTATTGCTAATAATGATTAAACAGTTTGTTTTGTATGTAAAATTAGTAGCACAGTTTTTCTATATTGTCATCATATTTATTTCAAGGAGGGCATTGTACATGCAGCACGATGTTGAAACTTTTTAAAACACTTATTAAGTTAGTAGGGATACAAGGTCTTCCAGAAAAATTTGGAGTAAGTCATAACGTGAGTCTAAAAAAACCAAACCTAAATATGTAATTATGTTAATGTATGACTTCCTGTTTCCCCATCTGAAAACAGAATGAAATCTTTGCCAATCTGGAATCCATATGATAACCTGGGTGGAAATCTAAAATCCATGGATCCTTTTAGAGAAAGAGAATGGTAACTTGTATGTTTTCTTGGTATTTCAACTCCCTGATAAAGTTAGAGATTTTACAGGTTGAGATAATGAGGGTGATTTTTGTATTGGTCCCCAGGGAGATGACAGAGAGTAGCATAAAATGATCTTGCTCAGAGCTGTGCTCTGAGATTACTGTCTTCTTACTAGTGCACAGAGGGCACTGTGTTAACCTAAATGCTAATCTGGTAAATATATATAAAGATCATTTTGGTGTCATACTTTTTACTAAAGCAGTATATTTAATATTAATTGTTTTGACTTTTGCAAGTTTCTGTTGTGATTGCTAATGGTAACTGAAGTTACTTAGGATGCCTGGCTAAGCTGGTTATTTGACCAATATTACAGAATTTTTACTGGCGCATAACTTCTCAGACAGACTACTGATTTTCCTCAAATGTGGTAACTGCAGTAGCAAATACTATGAAAACTAGCAAATATTTTTAGTGTTTATTATGTTTGAGTTTGGGGTTTTTTTGTTTGGTTGTTTTTTTTTTTTTTGGTTGGTTCTTCTGTTGTGGGATTTCTTTAGCATGTTTATATCCTGTGCTTTGGGTATGAATCAATGAATAATGGCAAAATTTTATGAACAAGCAATAACATCTTCACCAACAAATCAAGTTTTATTCTCATTGTGGCCATTAAAAACAGAAATAGAGATTCTGGGAGGTTTCTTCTGACTCATGGCATGTCTCTTGTGTTGCTTTTTATGTGATTTACAATGCATTTTGTGGAGTGCTGTCTGTTGGATTTTGAGGTTTTTGTTCATGGGGTTTTTCCCTCCAGAGGATGGTGTGAATTTTGCTGCCCAATTCCATATTTTAATACTACTTTTCAGTAATTATCTCTGAGGTCCAAAACACTTTCCTTCAATGCTTTAAATAGGGGATAAATACTGGATACAGAACTGTAGGCATACTTGTTTCATTTTAATGCTCTATCACCTTGAAGGTTAGGCTATTTAACAGAATGAACTGAATATACTAGAGCTGTCCTTATTAATTTTGTCACTTCTTAATTTATAGTTCATTCGGAATTTTGCTTGATTTTAAGTAAATTTTAAGCCTTAAGATTATCAGGGCCTAGTCACAAATTGAAAGTTTCAGTTTGTGTGCAGTTGTGAGGCTGCTTGGGGATTCCCTTAGATGTGCTGTACCTTTCAAAATCTGGCTTGATGAAACCCTGGTCTTGCCTGGGCTGTGTTCTTACAAGCCTGATACAGACACAACCAGAAGGGTTCTGTTTGCTTGCTTGTTTGTTTTATAGCATAGGTGTTTTTGAGACTTACATGGTTTTTGTTCAGAAGGAATACTAAGAAAAATGTGAAACATCCCAGAACAGAAGGAGCAGCAAGCTTCCTTACTTTACCAGGCACACTGACCCGTAGGGCTTTCAGTCAGCCAGTTGCTTAAATGTCAGTGGTATCTGACTTAATTGCCTCCTGCAAATTAATTTCAGATGCTTCTTTCCACATTGATTAAATAGGAAAGGGAAAAACTTTTCTTTTTTTTTTGGCAAAGCCAGCTGTTTCAATTAGAGCAAGGGAGTAGGTGGCAATATACTGGAATTTTGTTAATGGAAGAATGTGCACAGGAGTTCTGGTATACAGCTTTAGGGCTAGACCAAAGACTGAAATTTTCTTATTTTGTTTTCTGAAATCACTAAGTCATTGAAGAGGGGATATTTGAAAGATCTTTATTGATCTGTGTGATTCACGTGTCTTAAAGCATCCTGCGGAAATCAAGAGCTGTAGTTGGTGTAGTTATTTAATAAATTTCATTTCAGATAGTTCTTTTTTTTTTCCAGAAAAGCAGATTATTTTATATTGCAAGTGTAACAAAAATTCACAACTCCTCTTGCTGTTTGTGAATCCACTGAACAGAATTTTCACTGCTGTTTCATTATAGTAAAAAGTTATAATTTTTTACATTTTAGTTATGTATTTTTGATTTTTTAATGTATTTGTGTGAGTGTGCTTGTCTATCTGGTGATAGCATCACAACTTAAAAATGCCTGATAAATATAAGTAAATAATGTGAACTATTAATTTGTTTCCCGGTGTTCCATTTGGTGCTTTTTTTAACCTCCTTTTAGAACGTGAACCCAGCCTCTATTGCCACAAGAGAAAGAACTAGAAGAACTCTACCTATTCCCTCATACATATTTTATATTGTAAAATATGGAGAAGGATAAAGTAATTTAGTCGATTGTCTTCCACATGGGGATTACAAATAGGAAAAATCTGGTTTAGAAAAAATACAGTATTTAAATATATCCAGATTTCTCTTAAGCAGTAATAATTGTTTGGTGTGAACCTAAGTCTGCAATTGCCTGGAAACACAAGCCCGGATGTTATCCAGATGCATCAAAGTGCCTGCGGTTGTCTCAAGGAGTCCAGATATCATATTAGGCAAAATTCCCACTACGGCTGTCAAAAGCAGTGCTCTTGCAGGAAGACCTAATTGCTTCTGCTTTTCGCTGGAGGGCTGAGCGCTGTTATTGCCTGCCCATGACTTAGAGGAGAGATCAGAAGAGCTCGGACTGCCCAGCTACCGGGATTTGGGGAGGAGGAGGTTTTGTTGGTGTTGCAGACACGGCAGCGCGGCGGGTCCCGTTTCAGCGGGCTGTGCAGCGACTCCGGCAGTGCGGGAGCGCGGGCAGGAATGGGCAGTGAAGGGGCGGCGCTGCCCGCGGGGGGAATTAGCTCAAATGGTAGAGCGCTCGCTTAGCATGCGAGAGGTAGCGGGATCGATGCCCGCATTCTCCAGCGTTTTCCTGCGCCGCTGTCTTGAATTCAGGTGCGTTTTCCCGGAGCAGCTTCATAAGGATTAAAATGAATCCGTTTGGAGACGCGTCTGTGTAGTATGAAGTATTTAAGTTTTTCACGCTGATCAGAGCTGACCTTTTTTTTTTTTTTTTTAAGTGCAAATTATCTTCTCATGGCTAGAGGAGGACATTAAATGATATTGTGGGAGTCCGAATATCGCTTGAAACTCACGTTAGGAACTAGTGTGCTCTCGCCATCATCCTACAGCGGGTGCAAGGTAGCTAGAGAGACGCTAATTCTGTGGTGAGCTGGTGATTTATACAGACAAACTCGCAGAGACAACTCCAGTAACTTTTCTTGTCATTAAAAAGTAATCATAAGTGCTCACATTCAGTGCAGTGGTAAGGGACGGAAGCTGCTATTTCTTTTTTCCTGTATCACAGAGTGACAGCGTTAGTTCAGATGGGGTCGTGAAGAAGTTGCTCCTCAGACAGCGCACAACTTTCATTTGCGGCGTGCGGCGGGCTGCATTCCCTGCTGAGGATTTTCTACCACAAACCCTCGGGGGAGTTCGTGGAAGAAAATCTTTTCCCACGGAGGCGCCACCGGCGATCAAAACGCTGGAGAATGCGGGCATCGATCCCGCTACCTCTCGCATGCTAAGCGAGCGCTCTACCATTTGAGCTAATTCCCCCTGCCGGCGGCATTCCCACTCGTGCTGGATCACCGCAACCCGCCCTGCTGAACAACACCGAGTCACCGCTGAATTTACGCGCAGTACCCGGTGCCTGAAACGCCCGGCTACACACTTGGCGTATGAGGAGCGTTCTCTGCTGTGTTCCTTGGCTAAAACAATTCGTTTTCCTCAGCAGTGCATCCTCTAGTGTTTATTGAAGGAGAGAGAACTAATTTTCTTACGTCTCTTACAAATACAAAAAAGTTTGTAAATTTAGAAAGATTACCCTTAGAAGTCACTCAAGCACAGTGAGATTTTTTTTCTCCTTTTTTTTTTGCAAGTCTTCAGTTCCTTTTCCAACTTTCCAACTTTATTTTCTAATTAAACATATATAAATGATAAATACAGTGGTTTAAAAGCTCATGTTTCATTTTTGGAGAGCAAAAACGAATTAATATATTCTTGTGTTATATTATAGAAATTATTTGTATGTCCACCTTTATTTATTGACTTTGATAATTCTGTCCAAATAGTATTGCATCTTAAATATATGGCGTTACTAAGCACATTACTTAAATAGAAAAATTCACCTATAGTCATACTAACTGACTTTGAAGTAGGAAGCACATTGCTAAACCTCTATTCACAGACTGTTAAATCAAATAATGCTTTCTAGATTTCAAGAAATAAAATGTAGTTTACAGTGGATACAGTCATATGCTCTGTTGAAATGCAGAGGACTAAGTCCTGCTAGTAATCTAAAGTGTGTGCAGTAATTCAACAATATATGTACTGGTGGTTTTCTCTGAAGGATTTACCTCACTGGATGATAGCAATCTGTCAAAACAAAATAAATTTTAAAACTGAGCAAGTTACAAATTGCCTTAGGTAATGTAGTACTCTAAATCTGTTACAATTACAAATCTGTTACAGGTCAAGATGTATAACTACAACTACAGTGTGGCTGCAAATGTTCTCTTAAAATTCAAATATTCTCCTGCCTAACTTCAGTCTCTGCACAATAAAAATTTAAAATTTATCCTTAACACTTCTTGAATTATATTGGAGATGATTTTATCTATGTCACTTGAGCAGACTTGATGGGGGAAAGCAAATATGCAAAAGCAGTTTCAGTCCTTCTCACAGGCATGTGTATATCTTAGGCTCACTGATAGCCCCTGCATGCCTGTGGCCAGGATCTCTCCCATATCGTGTTGCACGGGTTCAGCTCTATGAACAGTTCTCCTATCGATCCTGCACAGTTCCAGTCATTATGAAAAAGATTACCCCTCCCTGTTTTTCACCACCACATCTCACTCTGCCACCATGGAAAAGGCCTAAAGCTTCACCCATTTGGTTCACAGAAAAACAGTTGATTTAATACTCAAGCCAGATAAAGGTGAGGAAAGATCTCTGCACTATTTTCAATTATTAAAACATGTATTTTATATAACTGACAACTTTGTGATCATGAATTTGTTGTGAGTGTTGCTGAGTATTCATGTAAGATGGTAAGTAAAATGTCTTAATTTCTTAACCTGGGTGGGAAAACTTCCTCACCTATGTCTGAAAAATAGCCCAACCTACTTAGGTTCCATTAAAAAAAAATTAGGGTGTTTCAGTTTTGAAGGCTTTGTATCCACTTATTTTAATTTAACACAGATCCACAGAATTACTAGGTTGGAAGAGACCTCAAAGATCATTGAGAGATTGTTTCAATGCATCTTCTTGTCAATACTACTGGAAATTGATATAAGGTAATTTAATCAGGCTTGAGTTTTGCTTTCTAGATGGTCTCTTGGGGGTACATCAGGGCAAATGCGAGTTTTGTATTATCCTCAAGTGGCTCCACTGTGTTTTCTGTGATGTGATTACCCTGAGTGTAGGAGAAGGGCAAATCTAGCAGGTGGCAGGTGGCACTGAACGGCTGCAGGGCACAGGTTTGTTGCGCACGTTAGGGTGAAGTGCCTTATCACATTCCTCTGCCTTACCGCGTC